ATTTTATTTATTTGAAAGGTAGAGAGACAGACATTCAAAGAGATCTCCCATCTGCTGGTTTACTCTCCAATGCCTGCAACAGTTAGGGCTGGACCAGGCCAAAGCCAGGAGCCAGGAACTCAGTCTGAGTCTTGCACGTGGGTGGAAGGGAACAAGTACTTGAGCCATAAGCTCTGCCTCTCAGGAAGGTGGAATTAGAAGCAAAGCCAGGACTCCCACCCAGGTCCTCTGGTATGGGATGTGGGTATCCCGCTACGCCAAATGCCCGCCCTTCTTGAAAACCCCATGTTTGTAGAGTGACAGGAAGCACATGGGTTGTTACCTGGGGCCAGCAGTGAGAAAACCAACTGCAAAAGGGGCTTTGAGGAGTGAGGGAGTGGTTACGTGGGTGGATGAACACACGTGCCAAAGCTCATTGAGTTGAGCACTTGAAAGGGTTGCATTTTACTGGGTCTAAATTATGCCTCAATAAAGCTGATTTTTAAAAAAGATAACCTTGGTTTCCAGATGGAAAACAGCCCCTAGGGGTCCAACTTGGAGGTTAATGCAGGAATCGGAGGCCAGAGAAGGGGGTGGCTCGGCTGTTGCCAGTGCAGTGATAGTGGAGGCGGAAAGCAGGGGGGAATCAGGTTGGCAGGCAGGACTGGCCGAGGAAGGTGAGGATGGGGGGGGGGCATTAAGGTGACTTTCAGATGTGTGTGTGTGTGTGGTCAACAGTTAGGGCCCTTTAAGGATATGGGGACCATGAGGATGGAGCAGCTCTGGGGACAAAGACAGCCTCCTGCATAATCACTTGCGATCCTTCTGATTCTACAACTCTTTGTTTCAAAGCCCTCCTGGCCTGGGCAGGAGTGTCACATGTAGAAGAATCCTTAGCAACCCCACCTTACAGATGGAACACTGAAGCGCAGGCAGACTTCCAGCATCCCTGACTTAGGGACCCAGGAGAGCTGGGATTCCGGCTCAAGCCCTACTTTCTGCTGTGTTGTGTAGCTTCTCCTGTGAGCTCATCTGCCCCAGTTTGCCTTCTTCCACTACTCTGCCCTCTCAGGGAGTAGTTATATAGGCCATAAGTGCCTCAAAGCCTGGTCACTCTGTGGTCCTTTATGACTTTTACTGTAACTAGGAACCAGGAACTCAATAATTTTCTTTAAGTAGATCCTTTTTTAAAAAAATTTTTATTTATTTGAGAGGCAGAGAGACATCAGAGAGAGGAGGGAGGGAGGGAAAGAGAGAAGGAGAGAGAGAGATACAGAGAGGTTTCGTATCCATGGGTCCACGCTCCAAATCCCCTCAGTGAATTCAGGAACTGGGAACTCCATCCAGGTCTTTCGTGAGGGTGACAGGGACCCAAGTACTTGAGCCATCCCTGCTGTTTCACAGGGCCTGTATTAGCAGGAAGCTGGAGTTGGGATGCAATGCAGGCACTCCAATACGGAACATGGTGTTTTGTGTGTGTGTGTGTTTTTTTTTTTTTTTTTTTTTTTTTTTTTTTTGACAGGCAGAGTGGACAGTGAGAGAGAGAGACAGAGAGAAAGGTCTTCCTTTGCCGTTGGTTCACCCTCCAATGGCCGCCGCGGCCGGTGCTCTGCGGCCGGCGCACCGCGCTGATCCGATGGCAGGAGCCAGGAGCCAGGTGCTTTTCCTGGTCTCCCATGGGGTGCAGGGCCCAAGCACCTGGGCCATCCTCCACTGCACTCCCTGGCCACAGCAGAGAGCTGGCCTGGAAGAGGGGCAACCGGGATAGAATCCGGCGCCCCGACCGGGACTAGAACCCGGTGTGCCGGCGCCGCTAGGCGGAGGATTAGCCTAGTGAGCCGCGGCGCGGGCGGAACATGGTGTTTTAACTGTTATGCTAAAACTTCCTCTTCACTGCTTTTTAACCTTAGCTTATCTAAAATTAGAGCTATCCCAGGTTTGTTGCGCCAGTTAGGTATTTTTCTTATATGCATAAATAAATATCTATTAAAATAAGAAATATTCACCCATGTTCCACTTAGACCTCACTCATTCCACTCTGGGCACTCACACCACATTTGAGGGGTTCCATGTGGGCTCATCCTGCAGTGCTGTGTATCAAGCTGGTGCTCCTGAGACAGGAGGGGTGTTCAACAAGTTCATGAACAGGCTGGCGCCGCGGCTCACTAGGCTAATCCTCCGCCTTGCGGCGCCGGCACACCAGGATCTAGTCCCGGCTGGGGCGCCGGAGTCTGTCCCGGTTGCCCCTCTTCCAGGCCAGCTCTCTGCTGTGGCCAGGGAGTGCAGTGGAGGATGGCCCAAGTCCTTGGGCCCTGCACCCCATGGGAGACCAGGATAAGTACCTGGCTCCTGCCATCGGATCAGCGTGGTGCGCCGGCCGCAGCGCGCTGGCCGCGGCGGCCATTGGAGGGTGAACCAACGGCAAAGGAAGACCTTTCTCTCTGTCTCTCTCTCACACTGTCCACTCTGCCTGTCAAAAAAAAAAAAAATAGAAATATCCTCATACACTGTGGTTATTTTTATAGATGCCACTGTTAGAGACAGCACTTTGCCTACATCTAGCAAAAAAACTTGACAGCGCTCATACATTTTACCTCTGACACAGCACTTCTCCTTCTAGGGATTGAGCTTCAGGAAATAATTAAGGGTGTGCTCCAAGATTTAGCTACAAGGATGTTCTTCTCAGGATTGCTGATTTTAGTGAAAAAATTGGAAATAACTAAATTTAACCAGGAGATAGGCTGAGTGGATGCTGATGTAGTTATAGGATGGCATGTTATTTTGCCCAAGGAAATGATGTTTCAGAAGAATATTGAGTGCCGTGAAAGGTGAAAGGTGTTTGCAAAATAGTGTGAAGAAAGCAGGTTTCAAAACTGTGTGTAAAACTATCCCAATGTGTGTTTAAGCATTCTATGAGTGAGTCTGTGTCAGAATCCATATGAGATGCTGGCACTGCAGACGGTAGCTTTACCTACTATGCCATGGTGCCGGCCCCAGAACAGGGGTCTTGACATAATCCAGTAGGTCAGGAATGGTTTTCTGAAGCAATGAGTTTTAGGTTGAAACTCATGAAATACATGACAGCTAACATTTAAAATTGCATTGTCCAGGGGCCAGCATTGTGGCACAGTGGGTTAAACTGTCATCCCATATCAGAGTGTAATGGTGGCATCTCATATCAGAGTGCTGATTTGAGTCCTGGATGTTCCGCTTCCAATCGAGCTCCCTGCTAATGCACCTGGGAAGGCAGTGGATGATGGCCTACATACCTGGGTCCCTGCCACCCATGTGGGAGATCTGGATGGAGTTCCTGGCTGCAGCCTGACCTGGCCCAAGTTGTTGCAGGCATTTGGAGACTGAACCTACAGGTGGAAAGTCTCTCTCTCTCTCTCCCTCTCATGCTCTGCCTTTCAAAAATAAACAAACTTGCACTAATGCTATAGTCACTAGCCACATGGGGCTACTGAACACTTGAAAAATGGCTAGTCAAATTGAAATGTAAGATACACACTAGATTTCAAAGACTTTATTCGGCCAGTGCTGCGGCTCAATAGGCTAATCCTCCGCCTGCGGCGCTGGCACACCAGGTTCTAGTCCCGGTTGGGGCGCTGGATTCTGTCCTGGTTGCCCCTCTTCCAGGCCAGCTCTCTGCTGTGGCCAGGGAGTGCAGTGGAGGATGGCCCAAGTGCTTGGGCCCTGCACCCCATGGGAGACCAGGAGCAGCACCTGGCTCCTGCCTTCGGATCAGCGCAGTGTGCCAGCTGCAGCGTGCCGGCCGCAGCGGCCATTGGAGGGTGAACCAACGGCAAACAGGAAGACCTTTCTCTCTCTCTCTCTCTCTCTCACCCTCTCTCCCTCTCACTATCCACTCTGCCTGTCAAAAAAAAAAAAAAAAAAGACTTTATTCAAAAAAGGTGAGGTATCTTATTAATTTTTAAAATATTGATTATAAGTTGAAATGCTAACATTTAGGATACATTTAGTGGATTAGATAAACTGTATCATTAATAGTACCCATTTCTTTTTATTCTTCTTAAAATGTAGCAGATATTAAAGTTTTAATTGCATACATGGCTTGAATTCTGTGTCTAATGTATAATGCTGAGTTCAGAGGGCCAATTACTGACTAAACATGTAGTATCTCATTTAATCCTGTGATGACTCTGAGAGGTAGCTCTTATTAATCTTCCTTCTATAGGACAGGAAATTGAGACAGAGTAAATTGCTAAAGATTAACCACTAGCAAGAAGCACAACTAGGGGGCCAGTGTGTGGCATAGTGGGTAAAGTGGCTGCCTGTGACACCGGCATCCCATATGGGCACTGGTTGGTGTCCTGGCTGCTCCACTTCTGATCCAGATCCCTGCTAATCACCTGGTAAAGCAGCAGAAAAGGCTCAAGTGCTTGGCCCCTGCCATCCACCTGGGAGACCTGGAAAAAGCTTCTGGTTCCTAGTCTAGCTCCAGCTACTGCAACCATCTAGGGAGTGGAGCAGTGGATAGAAGATTGATATCTCTCTCTCTTTCTAACTGACTTCCAAATAAATAAATAATTTTTAATAAATAAATAATATCTTAAAAAAAACTAGGACTGGAGTCTGGCTGGAGACCACTCTTGGTCTGCGCGTGTTCCTACTGCCCAGAGCAACCCAGGCAGAAGAGCACACGGGCAAAGACTGACATTGTCTTGACTATATGAGCCTTGGCTCACTTGGCCATGGAATGATCCCAGGGAGGATCTGCTGTCCTGGGGGTCTTTATTCCCCCTATGGGGAGGAGGGAGCCAGTTTGGAAGTCAGCAGGGCTGTCCATCTGCCCTGTCAGTATCACTTAAACTTTAGGAAGCCTCAAAAACCCAATGGAGTTAATCAAATGCAGTGGGTTGAATGTGTTCCCCAGAACCCCTATGTAGAACTCTAATCCCAATGTGATGGTATTCAGAGGTAGGGGCTTTGGGAGGTGATGAGTTCACGAGGGTGGGCCGTTATGCAAGGGAACCCTGAAAACTGTCTACCTTGCAAAGGTGCAACAAGAAGTCGGCCTTCTGTAACCCAGAGAAGGACTCCTCACAGCGGAACCTGACCTTGCTGGTGCCCTGAGCTTGGACTTCCAGCATGCAGAATTGTGAGAAAGAAATTTCTGTTGTTTGGAAGTCACTTGACCTAGGGTGTCACTCGACCTAGGGCACCTTGAACTAAGATACCAGGTCTGATCCCTGTGGGGTAAGGGACTGGGGCGGGGGGAGGGTGAGGAGGAGAGGAAAACGAGGAGGAGATGCAGTCTGGGGACTGTTTCCATGAGGAGGACCCCGGGAGGGACCTGGGCGTCCAAGGGTACCAGGACTAAGCTCTGCAGCTCTGGTTCTCCTTAGAACTCCAGACACCAGGGATACAGTTGCCCACGCAGTGGAGGCCTTGGTGTCTCCTCCAGGAAACACTGCTTGGAAGGGGAAAGTTAGAGACCTTTGGAGGAAGGACACACCTGTGCCCTGAAGCTGGTCTAAGGGAGAGCACCCCTACCCTCTGTTTTATGCACAGGCCTTGGCAGAAGCCCAGCCAGGTCCAAATCCCAGTTTCTTAGTTACCAGCTATAGGACCTTGGGTAACTCAGTGTCCCTTTCAATTTTTCCAGCTGTAAAATAGGATAAGAGTGTTCATTTCTTAGACCTGTGGCCAAGATTAAATGCAAAACAAACAAACAAACAAACAAAACCCAAAAACATGGGAAGCACCTCACCCCAGCGGCCTTATTATATTGACAACACCTGTTATGACTGTTACTGTATCATTGTTTTAAGGAGAACTCACTATGCTTTCTCAGAAGAAAATAGAAAATATAACACTACATCCCCACTGCGCTGTCTTCCACTGTTACAGATATGGTATCCTGTTCATCCCAGAAGCTCCAGGGCCAACCAAGTTTTTGACTAATTATAGATTCTTCGTTCTGACTCTCTCAGCTGTTGCTTCACGTCTGACCCAGAGTAAGAGCCCCTGCTGATTCCTCCACCCCCCCCCCCCCAATTATCACTACCACTTCAGATTCCCCGCTGCACTTTCCTCCTAGACCTCCTCATGAGCCATGGTCTCTGTCTCACCCACAGACTGGTGCTAACACCCTACACCACGATGCCGTCCCCCCCAGGCTACATCTTTTTTTTTTTTTTTTTCCTTTTAAGATTTTATTTAGAGAGACAGAGAGAAAGGTCTTCCTTTTTGCCGTTGGTTCACCCTCCAATGGCCGCCGTGGCCGGCGCGCTGCGGGCGGCGCACCGCGCTGATCCAATGGCAGGAGCCAGGAGCCAGGTGCTTTTCCTGGTCTCCCATGGGGTGCAGGGCCCAAGCACCTGGGCCATCCTCCACTGCACTCCCTGGCCATAGCAGAGGGCTGGCCTGGAAGAGGGGCAACCGGGACAGAATCCGGCGCCCCGACCGGGACTAGAACCCGGTGTGCCGGCGCCGCTAGGTGGAGGATTAGCCTAGTGAGCCGCGGCGCCGGCCTGCCAAGCTACATCTTAACTGCTGTGCCAAACACCCACCCCAGATCTTAAATTTTAATATAGGAGAATAAGGCAGATACAGATGACCTGCTTGGATTTGCCTTCAAAAAAGAACTTGCCAGGGTCAGCATGTGGCATAGCAGATAAAACTGCCTGTGATGTTGGCATCCTATATGGGCATTGGTTGGATTCCTGGCTGCTCCACTTCCGATCCTGCTCCCTGATAATGACCTGGGAAAAGCAGTGGAAGATGGCCCAATGCTAGGGCTCCTGCCACTCATGTGGGAGACCTGGAAGAAAGTTCTGGCTCCTGGCTTTGGCCTGGCCATTGTGGCCATTTGGGGAGTGAACCAGCAGATTGAAGACTTCTCTCTCTGTAGCTCTGACTTTTCAAATAAACAAATGAATCTCTTTTTTTAAAAGACTTATTTGTTAATTTGAAAGAGTTACACAGAGAGAGAAGGAGAGGCAGAAAGAGAGGTCTTCCATCCACTGGTTCACTCCCCAATTGGCCACAACAGGTAGAGCTGTGCCGATCTGAAGCCAGGAGTCAGGAGCTTCTTCTGGGTCTCCCATGCAAATGCAGGGGCCCAAGGACTTGGGCCATCTTCTACTGCTTTCCCAGGCCATAGCATAGAGCTGGATGGGAAGTGGAGCAGCCAGGACTTGAACCGGTGCCCATATAGGATGCTGGCACTGCAGGTGGCAGTTTTACCCACTACGCCACAGCGCCATCCCCCAAATAAATCTTTTTTAAAATTTATTTATTTGAAAGTCAGAGCTAGAGAGAGAGAGTGAGAGAGAGAGGTAGAGACAGAGAGAAAGGTCTTCCATCTGCTGGTTCACTCCCCAAATGGCCGCAACAGCTAAATCTGGGCCAGGCTGAAACCTGGAGCCCGGAACTCCCTCTAGGTCTCCCAGGCACTTGGGCCATCCTTCACTGCCTTCCCAGGATCAGAAGTGGAGCAGCTGGGACTCGAACTGGCACCCATTTGGGATGCTGGTACTGCAGGCTGTGGCTTAACCTGCTGTGTCACAGTGCTGGCCCCATAAATAAATAAATACTAAAACAAACAAACAAACTTGTGATGCAGGTCAGGGAGGGACAACTTACAGAATCAATGCTTCCTGAGTCTCCCCAGCCAATGGCTGAACACAGTAACCGTATTGGGGCCTGGACATGTCTGCCCAGTGGGGATTCCTTGCCTTTTCTTCCTGAAGGATTGGCCTATCTTTGACAGATCTGAGTCTCTCCTTGCTCAATCCTGCTTCCTGCCCCTTTTTGTTTCACAGGTGTTACTTCTCACTGTATCTCACCTGCAGAGGAATCTGGGGCCCGGACTATACACTGGCATCATCCACCCCCAAGGGTGGTGAAGGACTGGTGATAGAGTAACCGCTTCTCTTAGAATTAAGACAAGAGTAAAGGATGTAGTGGGTAAAGCTGCCGCCTGCAGTACCAGTATCCCATATGGCCGCCGGTTCGAGACCCAGCTGCTCTGCTTCCTATCCAGCTCTCTGCTATGGCCTGGGAAAGCAGTAGAAGATGGCCCAAGTCCTTGGGCCCCTGCACCCACCTGGGAGACCCGGAAGAAGCTCTTGGCTCCAGGCTTTGGATTGGCCCAGCTCCGTCTGTTGCAGCCATCTGGGGAGTGAACCAGGGCATGGAAGACCTCTCTCTCTCTCTGCCTCTCTGTAACTCTTTCAAATAAATAAATCTTTTTAAAAAAATTAAGACAGGAGCTGTACAGTCTATTCTTTCAGTAAATATCAGCTGTTGTTTGGGGCAGAGGCACTGTGTTAAGCACCGGGTGTGATTTTGCTGCCTTTTCTTCATTTCTTTCTGTTTAGTGTCCAATACGCTGTGTCTTTCCCAGGCAGAGTTTTGACAGTCTCCAGGAAGGGTGGACACGTGGACGATTAAGGGATACAAGCTTCCAAGTTCCTGGCTCTAGGTCCCAAAGGCTTGGCTGTGGGCTGCACTGCCAAGGGTCCAGGGGACAACCCCAGGAAGGGTTCCCAAGGGCTCCCAGCCTTGCCTAGGATCCTCCTGGAAGGTGACCTACTGGGAGACAGACGGACAGGTGGACAGATCACTTTCCAGGGTACAGACACGTGACGACCGGGTGACTGATGGACAGACACATGTTAGACTGTGGACAGATCCGTCAGCCGGAAGGTCAAGCAAGTGACTTTGCGAGCCACAGAAAAGACCAACGGGAAAGGGCCGAAGGCCCGGGAGCCGCCCACCTGCCCCCCTCGACCGCGAGGGGGCGCCGCCGCCCCGCCCAGCGCCGCCCCCCGCGAGAGCCGGGCGGAGGAGGCGGGGCCAGCCGCCGCACGGGGCGGGGCCAGCTTGCTGTCGGGGGCGGGCGGGGGCGGCGGGGGGCGGGGCGCGGGCGCGCGCGGCGGTGGCGCGTTCTGTTCCGGGCCGAGGCTCGCGGCGGAAAAGTTGCGGGGCGGTGAGGAGAGGCCGCGGGACGGACTGCGAGCGCGACGCCAAGCCGGCTCCGGGCGCTGCGGCCCAGCCATGGACGACCTCGGTGAGTGAGCGGGAGGCCGAGGGAGGAGGCGGCGGCGGCGGCGAGGGGCGCGCGGCCCCGGGCCGGCCGGGCGGGAGCGAGCATGTGTCGGGGGGGCCGCGGATCCCACCCCCAGTGGCGCGGGCTCCGGCTCCGGTACCTGCCAGCCAGGGCTCCGCGGGACCAGGGTCCCGCACTGGGCCTTAGTCCCGAGCCAGGCCAGCCACGCCGCCTGGGGACGGCCCCACCTCCGGACCCCCTTCCTCGGCGACTCACCTCGGTTTCCTAAACCGGGCCCTGGGACCCGCGCGACCCTTAGGGACCCAAACCGGTCCGCCTCAGGCACGAGAAAACGGCTCCCCGGACCAGACCCCTCCTCAGCGTCGGGATCCTCACTTCACGGACCGCTCCCCGCCCCCACCGCATGGGTGGACCCAGCCCAGCGAGCAGCTTCCTCATCTCATGAGCTGGTGCCTCCTTTCCAGGACTGTTCCCACCCCCCATTTCACAGGCTGGCACCCCCACTCCGGGGAGAGCCCCTCCAAGACTGTCCCTTTCCTGTCCTGGGTTAGATTCGCAAGCTGGAGGTGAGCTTGCCAGGACCACACCCCCATTTCAAAGACAAGTGCCCCAAGTGCTGCCCACCAATCCCCACATCACCCCCTTCGCCTGCCTGCCTGCTCTCCTTCCCCACCGTGTGGTCCAGCCCCTCCCCCTTCGTATGTAAGCCGAGAAGGGCCGGCTGGGGGTTACGATTTGGCCCCCACCCCCAGATCCTGGTCAGACGCCAGGGGAATGCGGTGGGAAGGGGCCTCCAAAGGTACGGCCGTGTCTGAGCTCATCCTGCCTGGCAGTCTCCCTGCCCCCCAGACAGGTGCTGCTGGGAGCCCAGCAGGTAAGGAAGACAAGGTGCCCCGAACAGAGTTTCACTGTTTCCCTGTCATTAGAGCCCCGCGCCTGCCCTTTTCAGTCCTGTCTTGATCTGGTGTTAGGGCAGGAGACAGAAAGTTTGTTCTGGAAGCAAACTCTAGACCCAGGGTGGCTGGTGCCGGGAGGTTCTAGGGATGCCGGGAGTGGCGTGGGTCCCTGAAGTGGGAGAAGTCCCTGTCTCACCCTCCCCGGCATGCTTGTAGCTGGAGGGCTGTGAACCGGGGAGGAGAGGAGCGAGGATAAAGTTTTTCTCTGTAGGAGCCTTGTCTTCCCTCTCTGGACTGTGGGTGGCTTGTGTGACCGCTGATTCTCCGTCTGTCCAGGCGCTCAGAGCAGATTCAACAGGCAGCCCAGGGCCCTGAGTTCAGGCTGTTTGTAGGCGCTGGGCCTGGCTGCTTCCTTGTGGCATGAGGGTGCCCCTGAGGAAGCCTGGGGGCAGGGGTCGTGCAGGAGCTTGCCTGTTTTGCATAGTGCAGTGGCTGCCAAGCATAGTTCTGCCTTTGGGTCAGGCTTGGCACCCACTTTTCTAATGCATTCAAGGTTGGCATGGCTTCCAGGCAGGTATTTTTTTCACATAAGAATAACTAAGCTGAAAGGAGGCTGGGGAGTGAGGATCTGAAAGTCTCAGGGCTTTCCTGCTGGGACCCGGGAGCAAGGTTGCAGCCTGTAAGGCGCTGGTGCTGTTCTGTTGCTTCTGGACAGTCCCTGTGCTGTTGGAGGGACTGAGAAATGAGAAAGTCCTTTGTAGAGTTCGCAATTGAAGTCGGGAATTCCTGTCCTCTGAGTCTTCCATTTAGGGCCAGGAAGCTGAGTTAGTCTCTGAAAGGAGAGAGTGCGCTGGCGGAGGGGACTGTAGGAACGTGAGTGTGCCGTTGACCGAGGGCCTCCCCCACCTCCGTTGCCTCATGCTCACCACAAGGCCCCTGTATAAGATTCCCCGTTGAGGCCACTGCTCTCCTGACGCCCTGCCTTTGTCACATTGAGAAAAATGAGCTAAGAGGGGTTGATTCTCTTGCTGAAGGCTGCAAAACCGCCAAGTGACAAAGCCGTGCCTGGAAGCCCAGTCCCCCTCTTAGATCCGCAGTTCTTGTGTACCCAGAGGCCTTTCTTCCTGGGAAGGGGGTGAGCAGGCCCTGGGAGAAGGGGTCCCAGCCTGTGATGGCCGCCACCTGTAACTTCTGCCACCCTCCACCACAGGCTCGCCAGTCGCTTGGATCCAGGCTGCCTGACTTCCTTGGCCTGAGCTCCCAGGGGGCCGGCCACGCCTGGCTGACCGGAGCCTGGGGTGGGAGGAGTGGGGTGTGCAGGAGAGGAGAGGAATTTGCCTCTGAGCTCAGGCCCCGTCAGCTGTCTGGATGGCTGGTCAGCACAGGGCTTGTCAGCTGTTTTCCTTAGTTAGGGTGAACACAAAGGCCAGGCCTCTTGTTTTTATTTTTCTCCTGAGAGTGCTCTCAGCTGTGAGCCTCCTGGTCCCTAACACGGGTGAAGAGTTTATGGTCTGGCCTGTAGCAAGGCCAAAGCTTCCTCTGTGACATTGTTTTTTGGTCTAAAAAAAAAAAAAGTTGGAGATGTCCTCCCCTCCCCATGGCTGCCAGTGACAGACTTGCCATGTGCTGTTTAATAAGTTACAAATTTATAGCTCTTTGGGCAGAAAAACATAAACACAGTGTGTCCTGCCCGTCCCGTGTGTTCTGCCTGCTTTGTGCTGTGGGGTGGCTGCCCGGTGGCTTTTCTCATTACTGTTTGGAGGCTGGTTTGGCCAGGAGTTCACTCTGTTCGAGTTCTGGCCGGAGCTTCCTGGACAGAGTTTCCACAACACTGAGATGCACTCTGGTTACTCTTCCCGACCCGGCTGCTCTCTCTCCCCTTGTTCGTGTTCTCAGTGTACCCGGGGGGACCTTGACCACAGCTGTGGCCCACTTCTGTGTGGTGGGGGACAGCACCGTACCCGTGCTTGGTGAGGATTATTGCAACTGAAGGAGACGGAGGTGCGTTATCTCTGCCTCACAGGTGCAAAAGCCGGGGCTCAGGGTAGTTGAGGGCTGGAATTGGGGTTTGAATCCGGGCTGATCAAGTCCAGGTCTGGTCATCTTAACCATAAGGTAGAAGGTGCTGGTGAGTAACCGGGGATGAGCCATGGACCTGCTGAGTAACTGACAGTTAGGTTTAAAATTTCGGCCCTGGGGGCCGTGTCCAAGAAAAGGCCTGTGTGACAAAGGGCGGGGCCAGTTTGGGATGTGATAGCTTAGCCTTCCCGTCGTGTAGCAGGGGAGCAGCCAGCTGTTGGCAGTGCCCAGTTGCTGCTGGAATCCGGACGTGTCCTCCTTAGCTTCTCAGCAGTCTGGACCCTTTGGGAAACAGTGCCTCATTGTCCCTGGGGGGAGAGTGCCGAGGGTAGGGGAGTTGCCGGGGGCATTCTGGGCTAAGGAGCCTCCCTGTTTCCATGGAAAGTCTGGACGTTGGGCTCGCCTGTCTGTGATGCCTCTGTGTGTTCGGCCAGGGTCAGGGCACCCAGCTGCCTTGCCTGTGGCAGAGGCCATGGTTGTCCGCAGAGAGAGGGTGCCCTCCTGGTGGGCTCCGCAGCAGCGGCAGGCTTCTCTTGGGCAGGATGCTGGTAAGGGGCTGACGTGGGATTCAAGCCTGCTGCATCTGGTGCTTAAACAGGTACACCTTCTTGTGCTGTCTGGGTGCCACTGCTCATGTGGAGATGTTTGGGCTGTAAGAGTCAGGGTCTTCTGAGGGCACATCTCAACATTCCTTTTCCAGTTACCCCAGCGCTGGCCCTGCATTGGAGATGCTGGGTGGGCCCAGGCTGCAGGGGCTGATGGAAGGCTCTAGCGACTGCTGAGCTCCTGCGCAGCCCTTGTCCCTCGTTGAGTTGTTGTGTGTGGAGCATCTGACCCTACGAAGCCTCTCTGGGCTTCCCACTTGTTCTGAGGCCAGAGAGAGTGAACACACTTTCTCCTAGCTCCATACATTTTTTCATTTTTTTGTACAACATGTTTATAGCACTCTTTCCCGTAATGTTCATGTAGTTCCTACATGCTGGGCACCTTCCATATGTTGTTTCACTGAATCATGTTAGCATTCAGCATGACTGTTAGCAGCAGTAGCATATTTACTATTCTGCCCATTTTATAGATGAGGAAAGAGGCGCAGAGGGGATGCACCCACTTGCCCAAGTCCTTTGGTGACCGTACAGGCTAGGATTTGAATCCAGGCTGTCTGACTCCGGAGCTGGACTTGTAAGCGGCCATTCTTCACACTTCTATTTGGGTTACTGGAGGTGCTCTTGTTTGCCTCCTGGTTTGATTGCTTTCCATTTCTAGGATACCAGAAATCTTTCCTGTCTCCTCCTCCCCATGCTCCTCATTGTTGGGTTTCCCTGTGGCTCCTTCCCCCTCCTTTGTTCTTTTTTGGGGAACCCATACTCAGGAGGAACACAGGGCTCTCAGGTAGCACCTCCTGCTCAGTGGAGGCCGCACTCCTCCCTGTTGCCCTTGAGGCAGCTGTGAGCGTAAGGCACAGCTGCCGTGGAGAAGCTGGAGTGGTCCTCTGATTCCCTGTCCCGCCCCCTCTGGCTGGGGATCAGAAGCTCCACATGGACATGTTCCTCATCTTTATTCAGGTGCATCGCAGCCATTCAGAGCAATCCCATTGCCAGAGGAGGAGGTTGCTGAAGACGCTGTGTGGAGAGTTGAGGGTGTCCCATGGGAGGGAGAGAGTGAGGGAGCTGCCCTGACAGAGTATCTCATCAAAGTGGGTGTGGGCGGTCGTCCTCTCCCTTGGACAGGCCTGGACCTCCATGCACAGCCTCACATCTGACCTGAAGTCTCATAACGCCTCTTGATACATCTTCCAGCTGCCCAGTTGATTGCCTAACCAGCGGGGCTCAGGGCTGGCCTCTCCAAGACAGGCCCCGGACTCTGGGCCATGGCAGACAGAACGTGTGGTTGGCCGGGTGCAGCCCAGCCCCAGTGGCCAAGCCTTCCCTTAACGATGGCCTTTTAATTCTTATTTCTTGTGCGATTGTGGTATTGTGGTTTTATGGGAGAATATTGTTACTGTTAGGTGCATGCTAAAGTACTTAGGAGTAAAGTGTCATGCTGTCTGCAACTTGGTTTTAAATGACAGTGAAAAACAAGAAAAGGATCTATGCACACACATACTCAGTCCTTCTTCAGTATCTGAGGGGGACTGGTTCTGTGACCTCCACAGTTCCAAAATCTGTAGTGCTTAAGTCTGTCACAGAAAATGTTGTAGTATTTACAAATGAACATCCTCCTGAAGAGCTCATCTCTATGTTGCTTCTGAAGCCAAACACCAAGTGAATGCTATGTATGTAATTGTTGTACTGCATTGTTTGGGGAGTAAGGAAAAAAGTTTCTGTGTGTTCGGTACAGGCTCTGTTTTCCTCCCAATTATTTGGTTGAACCCACAGATACAAAACCTGTGGATACCGAGGGTCCACTGTAAATATATAGAGAAGACAAGAGCTCCATGCATTTACACAAAATGGCAAAATGTTAACAATTGGAGCTAAGTGGAAGGTACACGCCTGTTCATTGTAATACTCTTTCAACTTCTTGTTATGTTTAGACATTTTCATCATAAAAAGTCGTTGGAGGGGCCAGCATTGTGGCTCAGGACATTTAGCCACTACCTGTGACGCTGGCATCCGATATGGGCACTGGTTTATGTTCCAGCTGCTCCACTACCAATCCAGCTCCCTGGTGATGTGCCTGGGAAAGCAGCAGAGGATTGTCCAAGTCCTTGGGCCCCCCACCCATGTAGGAGACCCAGATGGAGTTCCAGGCTCCCGGCTTTGGCCTGGCCCAACCCCAGTCGATGTGACCATTTGAGGAGTGGACCCAGTGGATGGAAGGTCTTTCTCTTTCCATCTCTCCCTCTCCCTCCCTCTCTCTGTAACTGCCTTTCAAACAAATTAGTTTTTTTTTTTTTTTT